TTATAACTACTCATGAACCTCCAAGTGGGTGTAGGATTCTACACGCTTTCAGGTTTCATTACAGACTCTATGAGGGTTCCATAAGGGTTATAGGGTTCGGGGCGTTCTGGGTTCAGGATTTGGAGAGTACAGTTTACATCTGCTGCGGCAATCAGAAGACACATGGGTGGTTGTCAAAATTAGGGTCCCTTTTTGGGTAGGTGCCGTACTAAAATAAGGACCCAAAAAGGGACCCTAATTTTGACAACCACGCACATGTGTACAAGAGCGCGGGTAAGAATGACATTCAGGTCTCGGGGCTTCAGGTTTAAGTACGTTTCGGGTTCAGGGGTTTGGGGTTCAGAGTTGAAGGTATAGGGTTTAGGGTTTAGGATTACAAAGGTCTTTCGTTGAACCCATTTCGTGTTTCTTGGATGCCCCGCCTATGCTGTGTTCAGCGACTCTCCGAATGTCACAGTACTTTTTAAAGACAAGGGAGGGGGGGGTTCAGAATTTCGGGGTCCCAGTTTAAGGGTCCCTATGATAAGGATCCTATGATTTCGGGAAACATGAGCGTCCCTGAAGCTCCTAAATATCGCAGGATCCGTGGCCACGGACCAGGCTTCACAAGCGCCCTCCCTAAAAACCCCGCAGGAACACTCAAAGGAGTCTTTGAGGAACCGCTACACACTTCTCCCAGAGACTCCACTATCCCTTAACTAGGGAATATACTTAAATCATATTGGGGATCCTACCATGATGTAGGGAATATCCCTTAGTTAAGGGATATACCTTAAATTAGGGTAGGATCCCTAATATGATTTGAGGTATATTCCCTAATTTTTTGGGATCTTTTGGAGCCTCAGGGCTCGAAAGTCTACTTCAAGGATCATGGGACTTAGTAAGTAAGGTTATAAGTACCTTAATTGGGGTTATAAGTAGTTATAAGTATAGTTACCTTAATTATAACCCTAGTTTCTAAGTCCCATGATCCTTTAAGTAAGCTGGCCATGCTACAATCGACTGCCCTTCAGAGTGGTGCTGAGCTGGGCGATCATTCCGCTCAGGTCTAGCACCTCGCCCTTCCTCGGCTCATGTGCTTTTCGGACTTTAGGGCTTTGGGGTCTTAGGGTTTTAGGGTTTAGGGCTTTAGTAGGGTTTTAAGGTTTAGGGTTTCGGGTTTCGGATTTAGGGTCTGACCGTGTCGCTGAAACAAAGATGCCAGAGGACATCGGTAAAACTGGGCGGCAAGTTTCACACCGCATCCAAAAGACAATCCCGAGTATTCCGGCGAACAAGAGCAGCCAAGCTTCACAGACTCGAGCTGCTCGACAAAGGACTGTCGCAACTCCTTGTTCCACGTGTGCATTGCGGAAGAGAGCAAATCGGCTTTGCATCTGAGACTGTCACATGGGAGTTTCCGAAAACAGAGGACCCTAATATGGTACCCTAAATAGAAGGATCCTTATTATGAGGACCATAAAGTAAGGTCCCCTAATTTTTGGAAACTCCCACATGGCTCCAAGAGAATCGCATCATTCAGAACCCGAGCACTGCTGATTTCCCCTCTACAGTGAGTTCCCCACTCTCCAAGGGTAATAGGAGGGACCCTTAATAAGGACCCCTAGGTATATACCCTTATATAGCCATTATATACCCATTGTATAGCGCATTACAGGGTAGGGGTCCCCATTAAGGCTCCCTCCTTTTCCCCTTTGACACTCTCCACCCGAGTAGCCATGATCATACGCTGGACGGCTTTCGTGGCCAGGAGGGACGCAACGGTGTCCCCCTTGTTCACCTGCTTAGGCTCGGCGCGGGGCGCGTGGGACTTAGTAACTAGGGTTATAATTTAGGCAACTATCCTTTACAACTACTGAAAACCCAATTAAGGTACTTATAACCTTACTTACTAAGTCCCATGATCCTCTAATTTTGAACGCTCGACCAATTGCACCAACGTTTCAGAAGCTTCGGAAAGGACCAGCCCCAACAAAGAGTAAAGAAAAGCCAAGGCAGCTGCCAGGCAGGTAGGTAGCCACTTACTTACTGTTGGTTAGTAGAGAATGGAAGAGTGGTAGAAATAGTCGTTATAATTGTACCCCATTCCTCTATTCCCTACTAACCAAAGGTAAGCTTAAGGTAATAGCGAGCATATTCGGCAATTCCCCAAGACTCAAAACCCCGACCGTTAAATACCTTAAACCTCAAACCCTTGGAAACCTTAAACCCCAAACCCCAAGCTCCGTTACATTCCCGGCCTCACCACGGATTTTCAGCAGCCCTGCGCAAGATGCCAGATTCGAGGCGGTGGTTCGGGAGAGTAGACACGAACACCAAAGAAAGTAGGGTTTAGGCTTTAGGGTTTGTTTTCCATCAGCCGAGTTCGCCTCTAGAATTCCTAGGTAGGAGGACTTATGGTTGAGGGTTCAGGGGGTTAGGGTTAGAAGAGAGTGTGACCGGTGAGAAACGGGATGGCGTGTCATACCTGTCATATGTACTACCAGGCACGGAACAGTACACGAAAGCTGATAACACCTTTGACAGTTCCTGTTACTAACTGTTACTAACTCAAGATAAAAGAGGTGCAATGATGTCTGAAAGACATGCGAATACTGCACGCAGCTCGGAGAACCCGATCATGCAAGCAACCCTGCAATAATAAGGAAACGCCAGCATGACTATCAGGTACAGACATATGCCTGCAGGTATCGTACGACAAGCAAAAATACTAGACAATGGTAATTGCGATATGATATGAGGGTGTCAGGCCAGGTTCCCGCCAGAACATGGAGCACAGCCCTAAGCCCTTCACCCTCAGGGGTGGAACTTAGATTCCGAAACCTCTCGAACTGCTCAGCAATAATATAGGGACCTAATCAGAATGGGCTTTCGGGTACGCTATAACTATAATAAGGAACCTCCCCCCAAGTAGTATAGCTACTTATTCAGGCCCCTATGTTAATGGCCCAGGTCGAAAAAAAAGCGCCTTGGACCAGCTCAGTGATTTGCAGATTTCCACTACCGTCGGCGTCGATGATCTCGAACCTGCCGTTTTAACTGCAACCCGAAGCGCAGGCCAATGAGGTCGCTCGCCCATCACAAGTCTCCCGTTTTGGGGGGCCCGTTTCAGAAATGACCTATATACAACATACAGGTTATAACGTCCCCTGAGTATATAACACGTGGTATGCCGGATATGCTCCTGGCAGTCTTAAACCTCACAATTGAGAATCTAGGTTCCCCAGGTAGCCCCCAATCACAACGGTATAGTTTGTTCCTACTGTTTGGCTTCAAGGAGGGAGCCCTGCAAAAGGGTACTCTAAACCCTAAACCCTAAACGAATAAGGGAACCTACAGATGATCGTGAGGAGCCCTAAAACACCATATAAACCTATGAGCCCGATAAACCCTGTAAACCCTGTAGACCTCATAAAGTCGGATTTGACAGCGTCCGGCTGAAAGATGGCGAGGAGGGGCCGCGCCCAAGATTTCAGGTCGCGGCTAGGTTGGGGGGGGTTTAGCCCCTTAGGGCTTGTCTGACAGTGAAACAGGCTGGGGTTTGGGTTTAGGGTTAGTTAGCATGCTGCCCTGGTCTGGCAACGCTATACGACTGAAAAAAAGCTGCGCCGTGCATGAAGCTTCATGAACCATCCTGAGTCCTACGGTTGATGATATAAATCCTGCATTATCATAATGACCCTAAACTATGGGAATTATGGTATATTCCTTATTATGGGTAATGCAGGATTTATGTCATCAACCGTAGCATGCCATGAAGCTTGCCAACATAGCTATGCTCAGAAAGCGCTTCGCTCTTTCAGCAGACCGACGGCGACATTAGCTTAGAGCCAGGAACCACGGGTAGCCCCACGAGCAACTAATCTCCGGGACATGCAAGCAGGTAGCATGTTCGCCCTGTCCACCGGCATGTCCAAGTCATCCATCAGCCGCCTTAGACTTTCAGGCTGCGACTTAGGCGACGAGCCTGGGAGCACAGCACCCAAACTTCCCCAGACCCGCAGCCATGAAGTCCTGCCGCACACACCCTGAAGAAGCAGACTTGGGACTGCGACTGCCGCATCTGACTGGCGCCCAGCTATGTCGCCAAAGCTCTGCACTTCTTGGTCTTGGATCACAAGGAGAAAGAGCTCCTTCGTAATCGTAATGTTGTCCTCCAAGGCACTGGTTACACCCTGCAGGGCATGTAGTTGCAGCAGCAACAGCCACAGCATTGGCAGCAGCAGAGGCTGGAGCATTCACAGAAGCTGTCGTCGTCGTAGCCGGCATAGTCGCAATACTAGCTGGTAGATTTCACTGCCGTCAACGACCACCACACCAGAATTGGAAGCAAATCGTTCGTTGTCAGCGTTGCCACTGCAGTGGTGGCAAGACAGGGGCAGTAGCATCGGTCGTCGAAGTGGCAGCAACCTTGCCCAAAGTATTCAAAATCGAAACGGGGACTGAGACCATCAGCTGTATTCGTACGCTGTCGGGCGCTTGCCTTCGCTCGGAGCTTCGCGCATTTTCGCCCGTTACTGCCGTAGCCGCTGTATTTCCTGACCCCTAGGCAGCACCTCCCCCAAGCTTCTTTTGAGAGCTGCTTCGCGGTGTTTAGGCGGTGTGTGGGGGGCGCGGGGGCACCCTGTCGCACTGCAGGTGTAAGGATTCGGTTCTTGGAAACTGCTGCGAGGGCGGGGCTCGGTTCTTCTGCGGGTACAGTTTGTCTTCTTGCATATGATTTTGTCTTTGCTTCTTTAATTTTGCTTGCAGGGCAGCAGAAAGAAGCAGCAGTAGCACGAATAACCGAATTTCCATTACTTACTAGAACAACAATATGAGCGATCGTTGTCGCCGTCGTGATGGTCTGGGCTAGTCGTAGCTTGCGGAACACCAGTGCCAGAGGAGCAGCTCTGGGAAGCAGCAGGAAAAAATCTGTCACAGAATCGCTCCATGTGTCCTGGATCTCTTCATCCGTGAAAAGAACGGCAGAAGATGTGATGTCGAGGTGCGACGTGTGCTCATCCTCCATTTCGTGGAAGAGGCCTTGGAACCACGCAGAGTATGCTGGGCCACAGGCTAGCAAATCATGGAGATGTGACTATTGCCTCCTGGGCAGAGCACGCAGGAACATATCCCACATCAGTCACGCAAAATGCTACTGGTGGGGCGACACTCCAAACTCTGTCGAAAGCGACGCTCTTCATGCAGTTCATGGAACATGCCACATTGCCAAATAACTGGCCAGCGCAAGCTACTCATAGCAGACATGCACATACTGGCAAAGATGCAGAGTTGCTCGCGGCAGTGACTTGACTGCAGAAGCTCCCCCACAAGAAGCTGAAAACTCGACCCTAAATTCTTCGACGACTTGGGCCGTGTGACGGTAGGCTGCCGCGAATTTCTTCAACAACTCCCGTGTGGTCCGCGCGACCCGTATCGATTCCTTGGATATACCGTTTACAACACCGAAAAAAAACAGACCACCCTGATCTTCCTGTAGAGGGCTTCGAGATCGGGGTCCGCAGTACGCCTCATGTTGAGTTAGCAGGGCGGAACTCCCAACGAGCTGAAAGAGAAAGGTACAACTGGTACCTGGTTTTCGTTAAATCAATGATGCTTCTGAAAGGCCCAGTATCTGCACTGCACACCAACTTCATCAAATTTTTACACGAGATTGAAGCATGGAACTCGAGAACTGTCCTCACCTTAGGATCATGCACCTCCTGAAATCAGTACACCCACGTTCACGTGAGCCAAGTCATCCTTGCCCCAAGCCCTGTACTTGCCGATATAGCATCGTGGAAGTGCTGTTCCGCGGTGACGGCCTCTGCCAGCAGGGGCCCGCAGGGCGGTAGGTGAGGGGCCGATGCGGCTTGGGATCCTTAAAGAGTTTAGAGTTGAGGGTTTAGGGGTCGCCTCGTAAGAAGCCTCCGGAAGACAGAAGATATGCGTGGTTGAAACCGTGGATGTTGAGCACCATAAATCACAGGACCTATGATACCATGCCCAACCAAAACCCAACCCAACACCATCAGCCGGCCCAGTCAACAAACCGTAACACCACCACAACCACCATTGTTATCTTTCCCCCGGTTCCTCGTCGTGCTTGTCAGTATCCATTCTTCATCATCATCCTTGTTGCTGTCTTTCTGCTCCTTTGCCTATCCCTCTTCCGCCTCTGCCTCCTCATAATCAGCTTCGCCATCGCTATAGTGCCAGACATTGCAATCGCCGTCGCGCTGTCGTCTTCAATTACCATAACTGCTTCTTTTCAAACTCACAGGAACCGCATAAGAAGCCCTCGCAGCACAGCACCAGAATGGCAAAAGCTTCAGAGCGCAGGGCTTCACCTCCCATGGAGTTTCTCTCGCAAAACTGCTCCCCGCCTCGCTTTCCTTTGCAGCTTTCATGGTGATGTCCACATAAACTGCCTTACTGTGAAGCATTAAGGATTTAAGTGGCTTGAGCTAAGGGTGCAAGACTTTGACGCTGCACTGCTAAGATCAACTCGAACCATTTTCGATAAAGGCACGAGGATCACGTTGAAGATGCCAAGAGCCACCTGGTCTGTATCAAGTTTGCATCTGAATTTCTGTTTCTGTATCTGCAACACAACCTATACCCCGTAGGTGGTTAGAGGCAGCACGTGGGAAGAGGGGCTACAACCTAAACCGAAGGGGTAGAAGGGCACCAAAATCAAACCACAGACTAACTAAACCAAAGAAAGGCAGCGAGTGGCAAAGTATGACAAAGCGAGCCCACGCCGAAGCGGTCTCGCAAGTGGCAAGGAAAGACTCCCAAACTAAGAACCCAAGCAGATCCGAAGGCACAAGGAACAAGGCGACCACTGAATCAAAAAAATACCAACGATGCCCCAAGCTGCGAGCATGTAGCTGGTGACATAGCCTGGTCTTTGTGTCAGTTTCTCAAACTGAACATGAACATCGCGTGCTGCAAAAACTTACAAGTTCGGATTCGGTGCCAAACATGGGCACCAGGTGACCTGGTTGGAAGCTTGCCGGCAAAGTGTTGTCAGTGGCTCTTCCGACCAATACACCCCAACATGATCTTAAGGTCTGCACCAAAGTGAACGAGCAACATGGATGATGCATGCAGGCATGCATGTGTTTGCGCAGTGCGCACACGTACGCAGTAGAAGTTCCCACAATCACATGCACACACACACTCTCTCTCTCTCTCTCTCTCTGTGCATGTGTCTCTGTATGCACACGTACATGTACCTATACATGTACATCTGCAAATGCATATGGATATACATGTACGCATACATACACACATACATACAGACATACAGGTATAAACACACGCAAGTCTTCAGTTCTGACATGTCTATGCTACACAAACAATCAAAAAACATGTCTATCTGCACATATAAACATATACGTACATACACACAAGCGAACATACACACCTAATTACTGCTTCTACGCCGCTGAACTCAGGTATACACACACGCAGAATATCCAGAGCTTGCCAAAAGTGCACAGCATGCATGAATGTGAGAATGTAGGTGCCCATACTCGCAATGCCAAACGAAGAACGACCGAACAAGGCTTCCGTTGCGTGAACAAGGCTTCGACCAAAAGTTTAGTCTTGAAGTCTATCCGAGTCTATCCGCTAGTGCAGACTTGAACTGTGTTTTTTTGTTTTATGAAACTTGTCGTTATAAAACCGACTTGTTTTTGTAAAGACCAGTCAGTACAGGGGCCGAGGATGAAGGGCAGACCGTATGCCCGGGCGAGCAAGGACGGGATGGGCTGGCCAAGGTCGTCGATGCATTCGCCGATGAAGCAGCGGAAGGCTGTAAACCTGCGGGTTTAGGGCTTAGGCATTTCGTTGTGAATAGACATATATATATATATATATATATATACACCTACATACATACATACATACCTACATACATACATACATACATATATATATATATATAGTACATGTACATATTTTGGTTTTACTTATATGTACTTACACATACATACATGCATACATACATATATATATATATATATATATATATATATATACATATTATACATTGAATCATAAAGTCTGCATCTGGACCAGGAGGATGGCGGGGGAGTGCTGGGAAAAATGAGCAAAGGGTCACCCCCGGCACCAGAACCCGACAAAGACACAACAACCTGGTATAGGGGCCTCAATAATTAGAATAGGGTTCCTTTAAGGGGTCTTGTAAAGGGGCTAATTAGGGATGTATAGTAGGGTTCTATGATAATTAGTGGGTTCCGTTAATGCTTCTATAAGGGATCTATTTAAGGGCCTTGGGTTCATTATATACAATATGGAACCCCCAAAATAGATTATTTACGCCCCCATAGCACACGAAAAAAACAAAGACAACATGTACTCAACACCATGCTGGGCAGACATTGTCAGCGGCAACGTCTCGAAGAACTGCGCGAGATGGAACTCCTTGGGAAGTCATTCCAGTGCTTCTGTAAATTGGATTTGGGGTTTAGGGTTTAGGGTTTAGGGTTGAGGGTCCAGTATCTTGAAATTGGGGGCGGGGGCGGTCCCTTGTATGCAATATTGAGGGTCCTTCATTGAAGCGTCCACAGGAGTTTGAGCAAGCGCTTCTCGACTTCTCAGAAGCTTTGAGGATGTCTTAAAGTTGGAGATACCCTGTCCAAGGCCAAATTCAGAAGGATCTTACGACTTAGGGTAACATTACTGGTCTTAAGACGCTGCAACCGGTCTTGCATGCCACTACTCTAGTCCTAGCTGACACAAGGGTTGGGGTTTAGGGCAAATCATAAACACCATGATAGTAAACTGACTTCAGCGACTTGTCACCATGATCACCATACTCAAGGTCGTCGTAAGCCGCCGCATTAAAATCAACAGCAAAATCACGGTCATGAGAATAGCTACGCTTATCATCTTCACCACATTGGACAAGCTCATCGGTCCTGCCAACATCGGAATTAGTGTCAGCACACTGAAAACGGGATGATAGCCATGACGACGATGACGAGTACCAACGACGATGGCAATGGCTAGAATAATCTTGATATTGTGAACGCGATTATTGTTGTTATTCCCATTACTATTGCTGTGACTATATACATGTTTTTTCGAAGGGGGGGGTTCACAACAGTCAGGTCAGAACGGAAACCCCAAACGTCCTAAAGCCTAAGCCCCAAACCTTTAAGCGCCTTAATCCTAAACCCGAGTCCAAGATGCAGCTGTGACTGCGTTGTTGCCGATCATCATGAAGGTGAAGCCCGAAATGACCTTGACTTTTCATGCTGTAGGGTTTAGGGTTGAGTGTTTACCTTGAATTTTTTTGTGCTTGGGGCTTTAGGGTTTAAAACTTTCCGCCTTGAGCAGCTCTTCGCAGGGCCAGCTTTCGGTCCATGTTTGTTAGCCCCCAAACCTAAAGGCCTGCTTCTGAAAGCCTCTTCACAGCAGAAGACAGCGATCCCTCCCTACCTTCTGCACTTTGGGCTTAGTAGCATCTACCATCATGCGGAACACAGAGCTCGGATAGACCCGAACCCTGAACTCTGCGATGGTACTTACATCGCTGGGTCAGTAGGCCTTTTGTCCAGACATGCTGACATACAAGAGGCGACTTGAAGGCGAGGCACATAGATGACGGCGAACAGTAAACTGAAGGCCAGTAAAAGTGTCCTGACACCAGCTTTGGCTGTTTGTTTCTTCACATGGCATGTTTTCCTTTCCTGCAACAGACCAATCACAGCCGACCGTAGTTAATAGATCAGTCTGCCACTGCTGCTGTTCCTGCTTCAACCAGCAAAAAACCAGCCGACGGCAAATTGGTAGCTACAAACAGCATGCAGCAAACAACAAAAACAACATCTACAACCACAACGACAACGACCGAGACCACGACCAGGTCCAGGACCACGACCACGAATACGACAACGACCAACATCAAAGACAACAACAGCAATGACGACAACCACAACTACAACCACCACCACCACCACCACCACCACCACCACCACCAGCACCAGCACCACCACCACCACCACTTCACTAGCACCACCACCAGCACCACCACAATCACCACTACCACAGCCATCACCACCACCACTGGACCACTGCCATCATCCACGCCATCACCACAGCCACCGTCACCACAACCGCAACCCCAACCGCAACCCCAACCGCAACCACAACCATGCCAACCACAACAACGACGAGGACGACGAGGACTGCGGGGACGACGAGAACTAAAACGACACCAATATTCTGCCTGGGCATACCCCAACAATTTATCTGACGTATTACCTTAACTATCGTGAAACTAACTTGCGTATTCGAGACGGGTAGGTTCTATCTGGCTCCCATTGCTTCCAAACAGCGCATCTGTCGGGGATGCCCTTTGGCTCCCTATCTTTCGTATGGATGCTCTCCATCCGCTGTACCATGAATACAGGCACGAACATCAAGTTCTTCTTTCTATACTGACGACCGGCTAAGTACCCAAATAGAGCATGCCGCTGATACTTTAGCCTTAGCCTTCGCCCGCACGGCATGCAAGCAAACCTGGTCTCTTGAAGCCCAGCCTGGCAAATAGGGGCCTAAATAATTACCAAAACTATTTTTGGGGGGTGTTATTGCAATTATTGTTTTATATACCCCATAGCCCTAGTCTTATTGTTAAGGCCCCCCCATATTAAACCCTAAACACCTTGTTACCGCTCCGTGTCCTGATCCCTGCGACCAGGCCCTTCACCATTAGCCGCAGCTCGCTCATGAACTTCAACCGGAAGATCTTCACTATACGGACCTTCGTAAGGAGTGAGGATTCTTTCGGGTCTAGAGTTAGGGCTTCTAAGCTTCGTTCAGATTTCGGGGAGGTCCGGGGGTGGATTGAGGAGTCCTTCGCGTCTAGAGGTGGGGCTTCGGGCTTCGGGGCGTTGAGGGAAGTTTGGCTCGACTGCTCTGCAAGGTTCCGATTCCGAGTGCGCCACAAGACTGCTCTTTGCTTCTGAGCCCTCTTCGCATGATAGGCTGGCTCGCAAGCTTTGCAAGATGAATGCTCCAGCACAGATAAAGACTAGAGCTGCCGCACTCATGCAACGACTCGAAGTAGAGGAAGTTCCCTACATAAGTGTGGCCTCCATCTCCCCCTCCTTGGTTACAGTCTTCGTTTCCTTCTGGCCTGTATCGCTGCGCCGCACTTCTGCCTTCCTTCCCAGCTTGCTTTCTCTTCTTCGGGTCTTCCCGTCTTGCCCTTGTTCCTCCCGACAGTGTTCCGGCACCGACGCTCCCTCGCCTCGCCGCACATGTGTGGACCACTGGAAGATATCAAGCTCTGTGCAGGGGGGTCTCTTGAGTCTACTTGGAGGTTCATGGGTAGTTATAAGTAGGGTTATGTGTCCCCTAATAGGAGTTATAAGTATAGTTGCCCTACTTAACCCCACTCATCTCTACAAAAGAACCTCCACGTAAGGCATGCCGAGGCACGAGTCTGACCAAGCGACAGAGTCCTCAGTCGTGCCATACACATCCCCTCGCGAGTCCCCGCCATCATCACCACGTCAACGTCATGAAGAGCAGTGTCTTGGTCAGAACAGCAGCTGCACCAGCAAGCGTCGTCATCACAGCCATGGCCACATGTATCCTACGGGGTACACTCCAGCGGGTCACGGTTTTCTCAGACATCCAGAAAATCCATAGCTAAAGAAGGTTCTAAGTTTTCTCAATGACGAAAGCCACACAAGGCATGACCGTGCTGATATCCGTTGTCGCCATTGTCCACATGTGTCGACACATCACGAAAACCACTCATCATCATCATCATCAGCAGCAGCAATGTCATAATCGTCATCATTGGCCTTGTCATCGTCGCCGTCATGCAAGCATGCCGGCTACCGGTGTGGGTTTGAGAAGGAACAATCATCCTCGTCGTCGTCACCATATCATCTTCTTTTTCATTGTCATCATCATCCATCATCTCCATCACCATCATCATCAAAGGACCATGACCACCACCGCCATACCAACAGCGCTTTTGGATGAGCAAATGTTGACATTGATGAGCACGGTCGCCAAATTCATTCTCACCGTCAGCATCATCCTCGGCGCAAGCCTTCCTGGATAAGGTGACAGTCTTCGGGATGAGGCAGGGGCTGCGCGGTTCGACAGGCTTGTGAAGGACCCGAATCAGACTTTGCAAGGCTGCAACTTCGCTTCTGTTCCAAGACCCTCTGCCATTCAAACAAGGAATCTCGAAACTCGAAACCCCGAGACGGTTCGACTTTAGGATGCATGACACCTGATTGCGAAACAAGATGCTCAACAGGGAGGCTGCCCAGATGTCTGTGGTCTGGTCTCTGACCAGCTGCAGACCTGCCGTAAGTAGAATAGGGTTTTGGGGCCCACTATACTATAAGTATAATATGGCCCGGATAGTATACTGGGAACCCTCAACACCAAATTCTACACTACTGGGCAGCATTCCGGGTGTCTGCGAGAGTCCCTGCATCCTTGGGTACTCCGGACTAGGTCTGACGGCCGAACGAAGTCAGGACCGATATCGGTCGAAGCTTCAGAACGACCGCTGTCTAGGGCTTAGTGCGGCACTTAGGGTTTAGGGTTCAGGGTTTAGGGTTCAGGGTTTAGGGTTTAGAGTTCAGGGTTTAGGGTTTAAATGTCGGTCCCGTGAGTCTGCGTCTCGACCCCTCGAAGTCACGAAACGAACGGTTCCGGGTGCCGCAGCGCAGGATTCTGAGCCGCAGGCCAAGATCGATCATGCCGGTGAGAAGAAGGCTCGTGTCAAACCT